GGAAGATACCAACCGAGAGAGTGTGAAATCCAAGACTCTTGAAGTACCATTGCCATGACTGAGGGGCAAACAGGGATTTTAGGCAAAAGAAAGGAATATGACAATGTGAAGACCTAGGGGTTGGAATCCAGGAGCTTTCCAGGAAAGTTTCTGTGATGCCATCTTTGATGGATGGTACTGTTTTCTTATGCAAGACAGTCCTGGAGGGTCCAGAGCAAGATGTTATTGTCAGGTCTGAGTGCACCCTCCAGTCCCTCCAAATCCCTTACCAGTGACTACGTCAACTCTCCTTGGCCTCATGACACTTAGGAGGCCAGGACAGCCCAGTGGTTAGCAACATTGCCCACTCTTCAGTCCTGCTACTCGCTAATCTGGGCCAGATTCTGCCCCTGCCTTGCTGTTGGGAGGATTCAGTGTTAATAAGATCCCCAGGAAATGAGCTTAGTGCCAAGAACGTGCCCAGTCAGCATCAGCCCCATCCAGGCGTCTGTCCCCCAGGCCTCTGTTCTTCCACTCAGCGTTCATCTCCATTTCCTCCTGCTCCCCTAGATCCCCTGGTCTGCCTGTTACCCTTTCACTCTCCCCCCCTTGCCCCATTATCCCCCCCAACTTTCCCGGCAAATACTCAGCTGTAGGCCAACCTTTCATGATCCCCGTTTCCTTGCCTTCCGCTCGTTTTTAACCCATCACACTCTGATCTCCACTTCCCCCACTCTCCCCGGGAGAAGCGCTAAATCCAGTGCATTCCTGGTTTGGATGCTGTGTCCTCTCTTACTTGATGTCTTAGAAGGATTGAATGCAACTGACGGCTCCTTCCTTAAGGCATTTTCACCCCTTGGCTTCTATAACTTTGTAGCTCAAAACTCTTAGTCCCTGCTGCTCAGGTCTTCAGTATAGGTGTTTCTCAACATTCCCGCCACGGCCCTCTTTTCATTCCACACAGAATGGAAAATGTCCACCACTCCAATCCTTCCGTTGTCTTACCACCTGGAAGCTCCCAAATTTGGACCTCTGGATTGTAGTCTTGCTTATCATCTTCAGAAGTGGTGGTCTCTGCTAGGTGTTTCTCAGGGCCCTGGACATCAGCAACCCCATGATAAATTCAGACTCTTCTCCCAAAGCTGCTCTTCCTCCTTGTCAGGGAAGTGGCAACAGCACCTGCCCGCTGCCCAAGGCAAAGGGTCTCAGACACAATCTTGGACTCTTCTCTCTCCTGCTTCCGCTATACCTGATTAACCAAGTGCTGTAATGCTAGTAAGAATTGGGTTGAAATGCTAGTCCCAGTTGTGGTTTGGACAAATGACTTTTCTCAGCCGCAAGTTCCTCATTTATAAAAGAAAATAATAACACCCGGTTCAAGGGTCAGGGTGAAGGGAGGTCTTCAGCGGGCATTCGGTAAATGTGCTCTCCTGTTCTCCTCCCGCCCCGGCTCTGCTGACTTGCCTGTTGCTGAATTGAATTGATGTAGTCATAGTTTCTTGACGTTGAGAGAGCCCCTGGAATTAAATTTCCTGTAGTTCCTTCATGATCGGGCTCTGCAACTTCCATCTCAGCACTCCTTTTCCAGCGGTCATGGGAGGTCTAGGGTGGAGGGGACTGTTGCGTGGTTAGATGTGTGTGTGTGTGTGTGTGTGTGTACATACGTACATGCATGTACTTCCAAGCCTTGTCTCCCAGCACTCCCACCTACCGTGCCACCGCCCTTGGCGAGATCCTCAGCTGCTCACAGACCACAGCTCCAACCCCCCATGCGGCCTTCCTGCCTCGGGTCTCTCTCCCACTTCAGCCCCTGCCCTGCCCGACCATCAGAGCAGGTCTGCCGTCTGCTCAGAACCTTGCCATTGCTGCGGCTCCTTCTTCCTGACAAAATGAAGTCCACCCGCTCCTGTGCGCAGCCTCCGTGCCAGCTCAGCTCCTTCGCATCCCTGTGGCAGCCCGGTGGGGCGGTCCTCGCCACCCAGTGCCCCCTTTCATGATAAGGGGACAGCGGGCCGACTTGGTTATGCTCGAGGAGCTGTCTGGTGGCCAGTAGGATAAGCATGAAACACTCAGCGAAGACCAGCTGTGCCAAAAACAGGAAACGGAAGACCCAGGAAACCCAAGTTCTGTGATGAACTAAGAGCCACTAGTTATAACCTAAGGGGGGAACCTCTTAGCACTTCACTCGATATTAGAGTAGCACACGCTAACACGAAGGTCGTGGAAAATGCACAGGAAGTAAAGCAGTCACCGGGAGCCTCTGTCTCCTGATGCCCACCATTGCCCTCGGGGTATCTTTCCTTCCAGTCTTTCTTTCATGTCATCTTTGTTCATTCTTACATAATTTCTGTGGTATGCTTCCTGCCTTACCCCATTCCTCCAAAATGTTTCCCCTTTAGTAAAAATTCTTTGTGAACAATTTAATGGCTACCTGCTATTCCACATCTGACTGTAAGAGAATTTCCTTAACCTTCTGCTATTGCTGGGCTTCTAGAGTCTTTCCAGTAAAAAGCATTGAGGGACATAGTTTTGCAAATAAAACTTTGCCCCCTACCTCTCTGCTGACTTTCCTAAGCCACAAATTCATAACCGAGTCAAAGGATATGAAGATTTCTAAGCAAGGCAGACTTGAACTGGACCTCAGCTGCAAAGAAGGAGATAAGAAGGTTGGAATGAAGGGACTTCTTTCAATTATATTTGTTTTATTGAGAGAGGCTAGGAAGATCCAGGCAGTGCTCTGTGGGGAAATCATGCCTTTGACTCACAGCTCCTGGCTTCAGGGTGGTAAAGAGGGCTTGTTTCTGTTTTTGTATTTTCGTCTGGGTCAGTAAGAGGACAAACCATTCTTGTGAGATGGTTTCCCTCTAAAGAAGAGAAAAATCATCCAGCATCTAGTGATGCAGATCATTAGCTGTGTTAACAGCCTTGCAATTAAAAAAATATATATATAATAATGCATCTTCCTAATGTGCAGTTATTTTTAGTTATGATTTCCCTGGTGATTTAAAAACCCAATGAATTTGTAAATGCAGTTACTGGATGTGCATTTGGAAATGGTAAAGCTGCCCTAGCCCGCTTGGCCACAGTCTCTCTGGGCTCTGAGGAGTTTGGTGCTCACCTCACTCCCTCCTGAACCAGAAAGACACAAGACCACCACGTTCCTATTCCCGAGGCTCCCTCACCAAAGGAGCCTGACAACTGTCTCAAAGTTAGCACGTCTCGAACTTGCGACTCCCTGCCCTCTCCACCGTCGGTCTTCCCTTTCATTACAGAACAGCCATCTGTCTGGTTGTTCAAATCAAATCACTTGAACCGTCCTTGCCTTCCCCACTCCCAACGTCAAAGCCGTTGGCATAGCCTACTGATTCTACATCTGAAAATTTACTTCTAAGATCCATCTCAGGGCCAGGCCAATAGCCCGTTGCTAAGGGAGCCAGATCACATGGCCAACTTTGGTTTGAATCCTGGCCTCAGCAGGTTGAAGAGCACAACAGGATGGAGAAGCGAAGGTAGAAAGATTGTAGGCCATGCCTCATTTGAGGGTACTTTTTCTCTTTCTCTCCCTCTCGCAAGCGTTTGCACCCTCTGGCAATTCAAAAAAGGAAGAAATTAATAAATTTTTAAATCTAATAAAATAAAAACTAATAATAAAACACATCTCAAATTGCCCATATCTACCCATCTAACTGGCCTGCCCACCCTCGAGGCCCAGGCCCACCGCTGCTCACCTGGACTCCTGAGTGGCTGACTCCTGCAGGTCCCGTTTCTGCTCTCTCCCCACAGTCTGCCAGGGGAATCGCGTGCAAACACAGCTCTGATCATATCATCCACCCCTTCCTTAAAACAAGTTAGAGGCAGGCCAGCAGGTGGCATGGTGGTTAAGGTAACTGGATCCCACATGACCAACTGAGCAATTCAAGTCCCAGACCTGGCAGGTTGAAAAACACACTGGGCGTGTGTGGGGGTACCCAGAATCCAGAGAGGAGCATAGAGAAGGGATTGTGTCATGGCCACCTCCCCTAGGGGGTACTTTCTCCTTTCTGTTCCCCCATCCGTGGCCCGTGCACATGCCTTATAACAAACAAACAAGTCAATCTTTCCTTTGCTCAGAAGTGGCCTAGACATTTATGCATCTTCTACCTGGCTTTCCTCCCCAGTGTCCCCACCCACATTGTCTGTATCTTTCAGGGTCCAGCTTCCCGGCCATGCTTCCATTGCTGCAGCTCCTGCCTCAGAGCCTCTGTCTGTGCACTCTGCCCAGCAGCACCCTCTGCACTCCCCTCCCTCCCCGTGGTCTAGGTGCCCCCTCTCCTCCCAGCTCAGGGGAACCGTCCCTCACTCCCTTCTCTCCAGGGCAGCTTACTTGTTTTCATAGAAACAAGACATTTCTCCTATTCGGAGAACTGGTTTTGATACAAAGTTTTAAGTGCACCTGTCCATGAGTGTGATTATTGATTGTGATTATTGATTGCTGCTTCTCAACTGGAATGGAAGACCGTGAAAGAGGCCCCTGCCTCTGCTGTCACTGTTCTTTCCCCTCAGCTAGCTCAGTGTCTGACGCAAATAGGTGCTTAACAAATAACGGTTGCAGGGCCAGCAGGTGCTATCGTGGTTAAGGCGCTGGACTCCCACATCGCCAACTGCAGTTCGAGCCCCAGACCCAGTGGCTTGAAACTCACGCTGATAGTGTGTGCTTGCATGCCCAAAATGCCAAGAGGAGAATGGAGAGGGGAGAGTTCTCACTTTCTGTCTCTCTTTGTCTCTCCAAGGAGCGCACGACACCCTAACAGCAAAAATATAAATAAATAAGTGAATAAATAAATAACTGTTGCTTTCCGAGTGCTCAGGTAGGGCCCCACTAACAGTCCTCGCTGACGGCAGGCTCCCAGGAGGACCCCACGCTACTGACAGGCCAGGCTCCACAGCACGCCCACCGGGAGAGCGCAGTTTGCTTCCATGTTGGCTGTCAGAATGAAAGAACACACTCACCACTCACTTGTGTTTCTTCTCTCTTTACTTAGGTGAAGCTTGCTTTCACTCTGGACCACGAAACTGGATTGCCTCAAGGGTGCCACGTCTACGAGTACCGCGACAGCAACAAGTAAGCCCCTGGGGACAGAGCGTCACTCGCTGTGCCACGCAGCGGCCACGCCTCTGAGCTTTCTGGCACTGGGCTGCCCTTCCAAAGAGGTTGTCAGGAAGGGTCTCACACTGGCATACAACTGGCACAGAGAGGTTTTCCCCATAAAATCTCATTTGCCCTAAAGAAGGGCTTGAATACTTGCACGGGAGGTGCTGTGATGTTAGAAGCACCGTCGAGGCAGACCTTCCTTCCCAGGCTCCGCAGTCCTCTAGCCCCACCCCCTTCTCCAGTCACGTGCCCCTCGCCAGCTTGGTCGCCCTGTGGCTGGTTTTGTCGCAGTCTGCAGTCTCTGTCAGGTTTGCAGCTTCGTGGCCATTGCCTGCTTGTGGATGTTAGTGGGAGGTTTCTGGGCACTGACGGAGGCTGAGGTCGGTGGCCTTGTTAGAAAGGTGGCAGGTGGCAGTTTCACCCACTCCTTCCTCCATCACAGACTGCCACACCGCTGTGTGCTTCCTCTTGGGGGGCAGTCATAGCTGTGAGTGAGGGGGCCAAGGAGCGTGCCCTGGTGATGGTGACGATGGCAGATGCCAGAGCACCTGCTGTGTGTCAGGCACGTTCTGGGGACTTGCCATCTGTGGTCTCGTGTAATCTGCAAAATGGCCAGAGGAGTGACGTTCTTACTGTGCACGTAGAGGTCGAAGCCTACGGGACTGAAGGAGCTCCCTCCAGGTCCCTGCCCTGCCGCCTAGTCACATTTACTTGGGGAGAGGGTAGGTGGGAGACGTTCCTCCCAAGCGGCTGCTCTGGGCAGCCCCATCTTCAACGAGACCAGCCCCAGCCTGCAGAAGCCACTGTGCTCTGGTATCCTGTTTCGGTATCTGGGCTGTTTTGTCTCATCCAGTAGAAGGAAACCCACCAGCATAGGCCAGTGGGACAGTCTAGCACCTTCCAAAGGAGAAACTTCTATCTTCCTCAGGGGCTCTGGGTAGAAGATGGGTCCCTGGCTGTCCTCGTGGCCAAATCCCCATCCAGATCACCTTCAAGGCATTATTCCCCTTTGTCATTGATCCTCACAAGGATAACGCAGTGAGCTGTCATATACCCCGCTCCCACCACGCTGACCTGGGAAGGTCGGCTAAGTCCCTCAGCACCATTCCTCCGGGCCGGCGCCGTTTCTGGAAGACAGTGCCAGTGTCGCTCAGCCATTGTGTCAGAACCGCCATGTCAGCGTCCCAGATGCATGACTCACTGGAGAGACAGAGGCAGACTTCTCTGGAGTCCAGAGACTGGAGGGGACAATTGAGCAAGTCCCTGGGTACTCAGCAGGGCCAGTATCACTGGAGTAAGAGGACAGTAGGCATGGGCGGCCTGGCGTGCTTCGACCTCCCTCCTGCCAATGCCATGCGGCCCTCCTGGGCTGCTGCTTGCCGGGGGCAGGGGACAGCAGCCCCATCATGAGGACTGTGGCAACAGAAACATTGGGGCAGCCCCACAGCCTAGTGGTTAAGAGAACCAGACTCACGTGGCCAGCCACAGTTGGAATCCCGGCCCCACTTACTTAAAAGCGTGCCAGGTTTATGTGTGCACATGCCCCAAGTGCCAACAGAATGGAAAATCCGGGGGCGGAGGGGAGAGGGTTATGGCGTGACCATGCCCCATGGGGGGGGGGGTGCTTTCTGTCTCTGTTTTGGTGAGGACACACACCCTCTCTCAAGTAAAATGAAAGAGAGATTTTTGGACCCAGAAGTGTCACAGACTCCGATTCTGGGCTATTTGCTCTTTGGAAAAAAGGTGGCAAAGTTTTTGCTCAGTGGGAGGAGGGCACTGGACCTCCTTCCTCCAAGGTCACGTCCTAGCAGTTCCGCTCTCTGGTGGCGTCTTTGACGTGAGGGAAGGAAATAGCCCAGCTCTGTGCCTTGGTCTGTCCCCAGCATCTTGCAAGCAAGGTCAGAAGAGAAAGTCAGGCTTCTAGATACAGATGATCTTCGGCCCCCAGAGACTGAGAAAAGCGTTCGTGTAGGCAGAAACCATGATCTGAAAAAGTGTGACAACCAAATGCCTCTGTGACCCTTCTTTCTGACTCTTTTGCTTGTCTTAGAGTCAGTTTGGGGGTTCATTCTCAATCCTTGGAACCCTTCCCTAACTTCTCTGGGCCTCAAGTTTCTTCGTCCACTCAAGATGATGAGACTAACAGCGCCTCTCTGCAGGAGGGTCACATTGAAGAGCATGGTCACCAGCCTGCAGGAGGGACACCCGCAGTCACACTGGCCCTTCCCAAACAGAAACATCAGCTCTTGCCTCTCCTGTCTTCCCAGTCAGCGGGGCCGCATCCGTGACTGGCAGCTGTAGCCCACAGTGCCTAGAGGAGGGAAGAGGCTGGTGGTACCCATGCTTCTGCCAGCCCTCAGTCTCTGCTGCTCAGAGGCAAGACCCCACTCTACTTGTGAGCTGCGAAGTGAAGCCTCAAGGACCCCCTAGGCCTGACTGGTTTCTCCCCTCCTCCAGGCTGGCCCTGTCTGTGTTCCTCTGTGCACTCGAGCATCATTTACCCTGAGATGTCCATGCCCAAACGTTGGCATGATGGTGGCATTTAGGGAATGAGGCTGTTCAGCCCAGGCGCTAAGGAGCCCATGTTGTCTCGATCCAAGTAACTTGGAGGCAAGAGCAGCAGAGAGATGAGATTCTTCGTGTGAAAGAAACAAGCTTGAATATTAGTTTGGACTACGATTCCCTTCTGGGTATTCCCTGCAGTACAATTTGTAAGCACTTTAATATGCATCTGTTTGCCAAATTCAATCCACCAGCAAAAGAGCTGTCCTGAACAAGTATGAGACTGCTGGACCCTGCTCCCAAGTGTTCTTGCCCTTCAAATGGAGGGCCCTGAAAATGCACCCCATGGTTGTCTTCCCAGAATTTTCTTATCAGCTGCCTTCCTGGCCTGGCCTGGTAACCCCAGTCCTTGGCTCTGTGTCAGCCTCTTGTCCTGCTCCATAAAGGGTGTATCCCTGCCTCTGGGCTCCAGGGAGGACAGGCCCTGGGACTGGTCCAGCTCTGATGGAACCTGGACTATGCCTTTTCTTAGGCTGGAGGCATGGCTCCAAGGGAAACCTCAGAGCTCCCAGGTCATTAGGACAGAGACCTGCCCAACCATGCCCTGGGGTAGGTTAGTAAACTCCACCCTGAGTTACTCTGTCTGGCTCCCAAAAGCCACTGGAGTTTGCAGCTAACTGGTGTGAGGCCTCGCTCTCCCACCCCACTCCACACGCACCACCAGTCACCACCCATGGGCCCCAGGACCACCTTATTTTTCTCTGTGGCAGAAAACTGAACCTGCTTTTAGTATTAACTCCAGTAAATCAAGGACCGATTGAGGCATTTTTCTCAAACTGCAGTTTTGCGATCTCTTCATAGGGTGAGGAAGAAGGCTCGAAAGAGTGAATAAGAGATTTATGAGAATTCAGTTAAACATTTAAACAGTTAAATGCTCTGTCCAGTGTAGTGAGGAAACAAAGATAAATTAGGCCCAGTTTACGCCTTCAGGGAGTATGTATAAATAACAGAACCCAGTCAACACCCTCGGATGGCGTGTGCTTCGGTGGTGTAAGGATTGACTGCTGTGGAGGCCACAGTGAGGGAAGGAACAGTTTCTGAGTTTGGAGCAGCTGTGTGGGTGGTGGTGACCTCCACAGGCAGAGAACTTTGTTCAGGTGCTCCCTTTTCTCTGTCCCCACCGCCACCCGCATTCCCACTGCCGGGTGTGGAGCTACTTTGCAAACCACCCGTACCCCTCCACCATAAGCTGGTTGACCTCTGGTCTGTCCTCTCTGCTGCCCTGCTGAGCTTCGTAAGGCTGCATTGCGGTCGTTTTGGAGGCCTTATCTTTGTACTTGTCATTCTGCGGTTTTACTACGCCGTGTCCGAGTAGATCCACTTTTATTTACGTTGTGTAGGACATAGCAGAGTTCTATTTTATTTAGACATTCTTATCTACCATCTCTTTGGTTCTCTAAGATGTTTTCATCCAGAACTTCTCTAGAAACCACCATCTTTTCTCTCCTTTTTTCCCTCTCTCCTTTTCTGCCGTTCTGCATTCTAGGAAATTTCCTCAGTGTGTCAGTTTAATCTTTTTTTAAGTTTTTGTTTTGTTTTGTTTTGTTTTGCCATAGGGTGCATGCACTCACTGGAGAGAAAGAGACAGGGACAGAGAGAGGGAAAGTGAGAAATCACTCCCCAGGAGGAATGGCCATGCCACAATCCCTTCTCCTATATTCTCTTTGGGGATTTTGGGCACACACACACACACACACACACACACACACACACACGCCTGGAGTGATTTTCCAGCTACTGGGTCCCGGACCTAAACCACAGCTGGCCATGTGGGAATCCAGCGTCTTAACCACCACACCACCTGCCAGCCCCTCAGTTTAATCTTCTGTAGCTGATTGCAGTTTGCTGTTCGATATCCCTTTCCAACATGAGTTTTTCATTTGTATCTTTAATTTTCAGAAATTATATTAGTGTTTCTAAAGCTGTTTTGTCGTTAGTGTCCTAGTCCTTCCGCGTGATCCCCAGCCCTCCTCTCACCTCTAGCTGTTTCGGTTATACTTACTCCCCAGCTCCTTTCAGACCGCTCCATTCATCTAGCTCCAGCTCTCCCACTTGCTGTGTCTTTTGGCTCCCCGTGGTGTGGCCATTTCCCCGGTGGTTGGCTAACCTTCTGTCGCAAGATCGTCTTGGACAGGGATCGTGCCGTCGTCCATGCGCCACAGGCCGCGAGCGTGTTCTCTCATGCCTTTGTGTTTGCTTCGCCGGGGGGACCTGGGGGTTTCCGGGTCCTGCTAGCCTGGATGCTGACATCTTGGCTCAGGAGTCCTGACACCTGGGTGTGTGCGTTCAGACTCCACACCCACTTGCAGTATGGACTTGGGCCTCCGTGTCTCAGACATGTCTCCGCTCTGCCCACATACATTCCTCAGGGCTACGAGGAAGGTCTTCCTGACTCCTCCTTCAAAGTG